AACTTAGAAACGTCTGACGGGGTAATGAGGAATTAGCTAAGAACTACATTGTCGATGTATGGGGTGATGAACAGTCGTCTTAATCAAATTCCTTAACAAAGATTGCTCTGCTTGTGTTAAAACAAATGGGGTATACACCGAACGTTTTGGCATTCTTAGGGATGTTAGGGTCGTGGGTTCGAATCTGGGTTTTCACCTCTATATTTTCGGAATTTATGTGCGAAATTTTAATTTCAAATTTACTATGAGCTTTTCGGCGAAGAAAATTATCCTAAGGAAACGTGTACACGTCTGCAAAGCATTTTAATGATGTGTATAAAGTTCTGAATCCACATTGGACCCGCTTGGGAATTACAGCCCTAGCCCTCTCATTGTGGGAAGAGGCCTTGAGTCTGAAACTAGGAACATGTAGGCTTACTGTTATTATATTATTAAGGGCGGCTGTTTAATCTATACATCAACAAATCAAACAATCGTTTGTTAAATCTTATATGAGGTAATTGTCGACTAATTCCTACTGACTTATTCATTACTGACTTATTCACTGATTGATGACTTATTCATATATATATATGTATAGTTACGATTGAAAGGAAATGAATGAAAACAAATTAAATGTGGTGAAGGTGAGAGGTTAAAACAAGTTAAACAATTTGTGTATCTATTAGTGGGACACAGAACAGAAGTGATGACATGTCTACTCACTCATCTGATACGATTAATATAATAGTCTTTGTGATTTAGAAAATACCTAGGATCAGGATAGAACAGAAAGGTATTACATTATTATATATACATTATATTACATTACATTATGTATGTTTATCATAGATTAGGATTAGAAAGGGTTTTTCATTAAGAGCGCTCGAACTTTGAAATGGAATAAAACAACCTGTTTAAGTGATATTGCCACAATTTTTATTTTATTTTAAAGAACATTTTGATGACATTATGTATGGAATATAATTTCAGCCAAATGGCCACCGCGACTCCGCTGAAGGTGGTGTATCCTGGTGGACCAATTTTGGACGACATTTTCGCATAAATGGGGCTCAATCTCATAAAGAGTTATGTTGGCCTTCAGGGCAGCAATTGTCTGTGGTTTGTCAGCATAGACTCGAGATTTTACGTAGCCCCACAGAAAGTAATTGAGCGGTGTTAGATCACAAGATCTCGGTGGCCAGTTAATGTCACCACCACGCGAGATAACAAAGCCCTCGAACTTCTCATCCAATAAATTTAATGTTTCCCGTGCAGTATGGCAAGTGGCGCCGTCCTGCTGGAACCACATGTTCGTGAGATCCATACCATTGATTCTAGGCCACGAATAATTTTTAATCATCGTCCGATATCGGTCGCCATTGACAGCGAACGCGACTCCTTGCGCATCTTCAAAGAAATAAGGGCCAATGATACCGCCGGACCAAAATACACACCAAACAGTGACTTTTTCGGAGTGTAAAGGCACCTGATGGACTTCCCGTGGATTGTCCTCGCTCCAAATCCGGCAATTTTGTTTATTAACAAAACCACTGAGCCAAAAATGAGCCTCATCACTAAAGATGATTTTCTTCCCGAAAGCAGGGTCAACCGCGAAATGGTCCTTTGGGCCTTACCCAATCCGCCAATTCACGGCGCTGTCTGGTCGTTGGGTTTTAGCTCTTGAGTCAATTGAATTTTATATGGATGAAAACCCAAGTCTGGACGCAAAATTCGCCAAGTTGATGTCGCGAAAAGACCCAGCTCTTGCGCACGACGCGGAATGGACTGTCTGGGGTTTTCTCGCACAGTATCTCGAACGGCAACAATATTTTCCGACGATCTTGCGTTTTTTTGACGTACAGACACTGCTTCATCCAAAACCGACCCGGTTGTCTCAAATTATTAATTAAACGACGGATTGTGGACTCTGCAGGACGACCATGAATACCATAAATTGGACGCAACGCACGGAACGTTAAGCGAACAGAGCACTGATTTTGAAAATAAATTTTAACAATTTCTACGCGTTGTTGAAGCGTGTAGCGCTCCATGGTGAAATGTCACGATTATATATGTTTTCCCGCCAAATTTGACAGCTATCGCTTTTCCAAGATGGCCGGTATCAACTTTCAAAGTTGGAGCGTCCCTATTGAAAAACCCTTTAGATTCTTACCAGCAGTAGAGCTCCTTGTGAAGTTTGTCCAGAGAAGTACTCCCGCATTACCTAGTGACGATGCGACCTGTTTCAACGTCATTTTTATCACCCTAATGTAAAACTCCTTGTGAAAGAGTTCGTCCAGTGAAGTACTGCCACCTTACTTATTTCTGCCGCCAAGCATTAATGTCAGCATTACTGTGTTCCGGTTTTGAAGGGTAAGGGTGCTGGTGAAATTACAGGCACATGGGACTTGTCAACTTATATCTTAAGGTGACTGGCGCAGTGGCAGTACCCTCAGATTTTTGTGATTTAAAGCACTGAGTGGCACTGAAACTGTTATGATCAGGCATGTAGCTTACCCTCAGGTGCACGACTTGTTTTTCCCGTCACTTGATATTATAAAAAAACCCTTTTCTCTGGTTTCTGGCCACCTCTATAAGTCTATTTACGTAGGGAAGTGTTTTTATATGATTTAACTGTCTCCGTGGCTGAACGGTTACTGCCAAGCAGAGGCCCTGGGTTCGATTCCTCTGCCGGGAGAAATATTTATATGACTTATTTCTCTCGTGAGTTTGGGTGTAATTTGTGGTTGGCTATGTGTGTGTTCATGGCACCCGCGATACAGCGTTTCCCTAGTAGGCTATGAGTGTGTGCGCGCTATTATTGCGCGTTATTATATTATTGTACCTGTGTTTATATCGTTATTTTGTTTTGTTACTGCCTTTACTTTACTTTTCCTGTACTTTACTTACTCCTGTTTTACAATAAATGATGTGGACCGAGGCTTTCATTAAATTACTTTTACCGCCAAGCAATAATGTGAGTATTACTGCGTTTCGGTTTTGAAGGGTAAAGGTGCTGGTAAAATTCAACATGGGCCTTGTCAACTTATGTCTCAGTGCGGCGGGCGCAGCGGCAGTGCCCCTCAGATCTTTGTGATTTAAAGCTCTGAGTAGTATTGCATCTGTTATGGACAGGTGTGTCACTTAACACCAGGCGCGCGACTTGTTCGTCCTGTCACTTGGTATCATAAAAAAGATAATTGTCGTACGAGAGTAATATGCGAAAAAGAATTCACGTAGCAGAAATTAATGCTGAAAACGTTAATTACTTCCATCCTTTGTTTTGAAAATTTTAGCTCAACGAATTAATTGTATAATACGAAGTGACTACTACGGAGAAATCAATACAGTATATCAATTTCAGTCGCCTGAACAATGTACTCGTAGATAAATTTTATTTATCATATTATGGTCCATGGGCTATACTAATGACTCTATCCTCGACGTATTATAATGAGGAAAAACTACGCCAGTGCTGTTCTGAAAACGATACTGTGCTCGCTAGGACTAGCGAAACTAGAAGATTCATTTACGAACCGCATAAAATTAAAATTATTTTACGATGAAAATAGGAAAAGAAGTGAGGTTTCATCTCCTAAAGCAGACAAACTTCCTATACAATTACCCTTTTCCATTAAAAGTCAATGAGCACGCGTTCTCACTTTTATCAATTGTCGCTGACGCAGATGCGTCATTGCACTAAGAATACGAAATCTCGAGTACAAAGTAGTACATCGCTTTAGGTACAACTTACAATGATAGCTGTAAGTTGGAAACAAATAAATAAATAAGTAAAGTATCCTTATGAACTAGGTATGTAAACAAAGGTGACCAATTTAAAAAAGTATTACTTATCTCGAACACAAGTAGTGTATGTGTATGCTAGTAAACTTTTTTGAATATTTGTGGTTTCTACTCCAGTTTTTTGCCTTTTATACTAATATATTTTATAATAATAGGCAATAAACTGAAGTAGACATTTTTAGGTTACAAAACTTAGCGAACGTATCTTTTATCTCAAATACAAAATAGCATGCGACTGTATTACCTGCCTGCCTACTGCAAATAAGAGGCAATAAATAAAATAGACACTTTTAGATTGCCAAATTCAGAAAAATATCTTTCATCTTTAGAACAAAAAATATCTCTAATCTCGAGTACAAAGTAATCTGCATTACCCGCCTACTTCAAATTAAAAGCAAAAAATTAAGTAGAAACTTTTAGGTTACCAAATTTAGAAAAGTATCACTTATTATTCCAAAGTAATAAGCACCTGTACGACCTGCCTACTGCAAATAAAAGGCAAAAAATTAAGATTAGTAAATGATATTATGAAACGAAATAGCCCAACTTTAAGCAAAGCCCGAAAAACCACCCCTTTCTAAAGTTATAGGCAATTTCGATTAATCTTAATATGCTGAGTGTACTACTCTACCAAAGCAATAGGCACCTTTTTAGTGTCAACCCTACTTGGGAGCATATATTATTTAGTTGTGTGGTTATAATACCTTATCTAGAATTTTCTCGCGTCAATAGTTCTACGGATATCGGCGTATCAAGATTCTATTGAGAAACGTTATCAGTTTCAGTTGGACTACAAGTGTCTGTAGGAAACCGTCGATTGCAACCACAACTAATTTTGCTGCCCACTTAAATGTAGGCCAATCTCGGGCACCGCTCTACTTTCTCAACACTTATCGGGCCAGGAACATTGCCAACGAACGTTCGCCAGCAATTTTATGTAACTTTGTTGTCGAAACAAAACGTGCAGTTCAATTGATAAGTTTGTTTTTGTCAATACATATAAGAACCGTTTGCACCGAGTTCGCGTTAGTACTAAGTGGTACTAATACTAAGTTATGGACACCATAATAATTTAAATTTTAACTTTAATTACCGAAACATCACAGTCAACAAATTAATATAGCTAAACTTACATCTTAATTACAGATTAAGCTTAATTAGATAAACCTAACTGGCATTATTCGACATAAATCTTTGGGATTACATAACACATTTTAGTGTCCCTTCTTGTGGCCCCAGTGTTTGTGCGCCTCATGGCCACCCTTCTTGCCATGATCATGATGATGGTGATGATGTTCGTGATGGCCACCTTCATCATGGTGGCCTTTGTGATCATGATGATGTCCTCCCTTCTCATGATGACCCTTTTTGCCATGCTCATGATGATGATGACCACCATGCTTGTGTCCCTTGTGGAACCCACCGCCTTTCTTGTGCCCATGTTCCCCATGGTGACCACCATGATGCTCCTCATGGCCACCCTCGTGATGATTGTCATGGAAATGTTTCTCTTTCTTAAATTCATCGTGCTTATGAACACCGTGGTGACCCTTAGTGGAGTGCCCCTTGTGATAATGACCTTTCTCGTGATGACCATGGCCTTTATGGCCCTTTTCTCCGTGGTGGTGTTCGTGGTGGTGCCCATCATCGTGATGGTGATGCTTCTTATTACCACCATGTTCATCATGATGACCCTTGTGCCCTTCATGATGGTGATGGCCCTTTTTACCGTGCTCATGATGGTGATGTCCCTTGTAGCCCTTGTGTCCCTTTTCTCCGTGATCATCGTGATGATGACCGTGGTGTTCACTACCGCCGCCCTTATCCCATTTACCCCCACCACCACCACCACCACCTCCACCTCCACCTCCACCTCCATGTTTAGTAGCAGCTGTTTCCAAGTCCGCGTCGCGCCTATTCCGAGAGACATCCCGACAGGTGACATACGCTAGCGCTGCTAGCGCAACGAAACATAGTAATAAAGACCTCATCCTGCCACAAAATCTGAGCCTGACTGATGACCGTGCTCAACGTTGACAAGTTTATATACTAAATCAAAGTTTTGTTTGTATTGTGGGTATGAAATTGTGTAAATACCAAGGTTGCACTGTGTGCCCCGGTCGTGCAGCGAGTGTGTTGCGCAGTGCACCGCCGGGCCCGGTGTCTCAATCAACTCAATAAGATACAAAAACTCGGTGACAACTAGAGCGATTATTTCCAAACACCCAGTATTTTCCAACATAAAAACTGTGAGAGCCTTATTCCCTGTAAGGCTCCATTTATATTGCGGCGGAACGGAATGGAAGCGAATTTTTGTAACGATATTGTACATAGCATAATCAACTTTATGGCCGATTGTGTAACGTACAAACTAGATATTAGCCAAAATCGCGAGAATTCCGCCGATTTTGGCTCCGTACAAAAATTCGCTTCCATTCCGTTCGGCCGGAATGTATATTGAACCTAACGAAGATTTACTTCTACTCGGCCAGTATGCGCAACAATTCTCGATAGAGCAAACATGCGAAGCCAGCCAAACTACAGGAGATAAACTCAATGTTTTCGGGTGGCTTTAGGAATCAATCACGAGAGCCAATCGCATATTCCAAAATATATTAGAACACATCAGTCAGATTCGACTTTCGAAAGATCATTTCTTCAACTTCGTAGGCTCTATGACAAAGCATTGTTCAAATAGGAAAAAAGCGTATGCAAAATAGCGATGCTTACGTTTATGTTCAAGAAATAAGACTTGGGAACTAACAGGTTACAGTAGTACAATAAATAAAACAAACGTATAAATTTTTGCTTAGTTTATTTATGCAATCCTCAACAAGTATTGGAGCACTACAAGATGATATATGTTAATAATTTTAATCTAAATTCCTATTCAATTTAAACTATATATCTTTTAATTCGTACAATATTTTTATATAATATTATAAATCACAATACCAACTTTTAGTTGACAAAATTATTTAACTAAAGGAACATAGCTAAATATAATTCATACAATTCTAAAGTGTCTCACACCCTGACATTTTTGTTTCACTTTGATTTCAGTCCTAAACAATGCGATGCTCATACAGAGTTAGTTTATATATTACGGAGCCGAAACCTCATAACACGGCATTCTTATTAAAATTAACTTATGTTCTACTATTTTAGGGAACTCACACATTTTTTTTATTACTGGAAAGTACAATAAATCCATAGAACTCTCATATGAAGACATTTTCAGTGAACTTATGAAAGTCGAAAGCCAAAAGTTTTAATGATATGCATGCCGTGTTATGTAAAGTTTCGCGTTGATAACAAATACCTCTGTATAAACCGACAAGGACTACATCGAATGTATCAATAGTAAATAAATTATCTAATGACTTTGATTGTAAAGATTTGTATCGATGATTACTTCTTTGACCATTGCTAATAGTCCCTGTCAAAATATATTTAAATTTTCGGTATTTCTTTTATGTTACTCCCTGATCAGGAGCACATAAATAGTAACTGGCTTCCAAAAGATTTTTCTTTGCGGCTACCTAATAGACACAATCTACAAACGAAACAAACTCATAAAAAAGAAAAAGTTATAAAGTAGAAATAAGATCAAAAAGTTGTCGCTGTCAACAGAGTATAATAGATAGATATCCACCACACACGAGAAAGATACTTTGCTGCAATATTCATTTTCATACTTAATAACGCAAACATCGATAAAAATAAAGTATAGCGATATAAACAAATTCGGGGAAAAGAGTGAGAAAATCGGCAGCGCCTGTGACATAGAAGGGTCAATATCTTAGCGTTTGTCTAGAATTCGAAATTACTCCTGATTTAGTAATTAAAAATATTCCTTTCTGTTTGAATTTTTACACTTAAGTCCCGAATAATCCCAGAAACGGGAGATATTTTCCAACAAGTTCCGATGTAAATATAGACACGTTCATCACTTAAACGTGTATTTATTTGTTGTGCTAATTATAGTTTAGGATATCATTGTTACCGAACAAAACATCACAAAAATCTAATCTAGGTCAAAACACACTCGGCAACTAGAAGCCTCTTTTAGTTTAAACCTTAAAATTACTCAAAGCAAATGAAGATTCAATATATTCAGTACAATTTAAAAAACCTGAAACGTGAGAAGAATTCAATAATGTTTCAAATTTACAAAACAAACGTGTTCCTAAAAATGTATCATGAAATAACAATAAGTAAATAGAACATTCATAAAACGCACAAGAATGTTATAACTTCGTAACTACTAGCAAATACGAATTACACGATTTTGCGATTAAAAAGGTAGTTGGTTTTGAAAAATACAATCACTATATTTTCTTGGCTTGCGACTTTGTACAAGATTCAATAGAGATTAGAAGACACAAAATACCATAAGTTCATTAGATGCCATTCCTAATATTTACTATATAAAATGCTGATATAAAAAGCTGCAATACATTCCAAAGGCAAGTAAGATATTTCCAGGTCTACAATATATCGGCCATTAGTTTGTAATCAGCATTACTTTATACAATCCAGTACATCGAATCTTCTACAATTCCGATTGGTAAAATGAATTAAACATCACTAGCGCACATGTCTAGTTGAGATGGAAGCCACGCTCGTTGGTCGCGGCGAGAAGTCGCTCGCGAAGCACCTCCTTGCAAGTATATTCAGGAAGCTTCAAATAGTGAACGCAAGTATTCACTGATGGATACGACCCGTCGCCAGCCTCGACCTGTGTGGTTACACATTTGGCTTATTAATTTTCTGACGAAACCGAAACATTTATTCTGAAAAAATAATTGACAGAGCCTCTTAATTGCCGTAACTAAGATGATTTAGCTGGAACTCATACGGCAAGTAGCACGTTATCTGACTTGCTAGTCATCAATTTGTTTGATCAGGCAAGAGATCAACATAATCCTGGAGAGACGTCAGTAGTTGTTAAGGGGTTAGCAAGTAAGGGATATCCAGCTTACCTTCCGCACGACCGTGAGACGAGGATGCAAGTTGGCGAGGCCGCCAGGCGGCAAGCTGCTGCAGCCTGTGGCGAACTGCAGAAACGCTTTACGCTCGCGCCACGACATCTCCACCAATACGTCCACCAGGCGCAGGAAACCGGGGCTACAAATAACAATAAATGCTAGGTGCATACAGGGATACACTGTTATCGACAGTTTTATTTCCAAGTACTATGACGCTAAAAATATGTAGTACACTTTCAATCCAACACATTGCATTCCGTGGAGTTAGCTCTCCACATAAACTGGATTTGGATTGTTTTCTACCTGTCCCTAGTGTAGCCAAGCTTGGGCTCAGTGTACTGCAGGAGATGCTCCCTGGTCCAGGCAGGGCCGCGCTCGCCGCAGAGCAGCAGGCGCAGCTCGGTCGGCGAGAAAGCGCGCAGGCGCCGAGGCGGGAAGACGCAGGCGAAGCCGCGCCGGAACGCCGCGATCTGACGGCGGATGCCTTCACGCACGATCCAGCGCGCGCTCGCTTCTGCGTACGCGCGTGCGTTGTGCGGACCGACCTAGGCAATAACAAACAATTGTATCGTGAATATCGTTCATTTCCTTGTGCAAGGTTACAATGTTAAATCGCATCTATTACTCTCCATTGCCCGTGCACAATTTTATTACATAGTAATACTAATGAAACGAATACTAAAAATGTACATAACATATTATAATCCTTACGAACCTCAATGTGCTCTCCACTATCGCAGAGCGGCTGCACAGCAATGGCCGGATCAGCGTGTGACGCGACGTGCGTCATTGTCAATGACAGCTCTTCGAAGCTGGCGCACTCGACGCGCAGTGCCGCGATCATTGCATCGCGTTCTATTAGAGTTAGCAAATTGTCGCGAGTTATCGCGTCGTATTCTTCTGCCGCCGCTAGTAGACTTTCAAGGAATCTATAGAAATAATTAATATATAGTAATATATTTATATAGATACAAATTAAAGCAACCAATTGTGAATTAATGAAAATTGTGATACCATAACAGCTTCGATGGAAATAACGTGACCAAAATAGGGCACGCAAACTCAAAACTCAAATAATGTTTATTTCATTGATAAGTAAGCAAATTACACTTGAAATCGTCAAAATTTGCTCACCAATGAAATAAACGCTTGAAATCGTCACGAAAGAGTAGTACAGATTAATACCTCTAATGCATTCGTTAGGACTTGCCGAAAAGAATGAGTAGAAACTCTATGTCTACATATTACACATTGCACTAGATATGAATTTGTGACTTTGTGAAGGCAACTGTCAAGAACAGACAGTTTATTTTTATTCATCGTATTAATGTTACGTTTATCACTACTTTTCATAAAACAATTACTATTCTCCTTAACATAATTACTTTTTTTCATAAATGTACTGTGACGTTAGTGCATGAATGTCATAAATTTATTTGTCAAAAACACTCTGAGGCCCAGATTGTAAATTATCCGAACCGCACACTTTTGCAGAACAATGATTATATTCGGCGGCATTACCCCAAATGCATTGAGCTAAAATAAACCAATCTAGCGGTTTCGATCTGAAAGGTTCCGTATGTTTTTAACCACATACACCTACATATATATATTACCTATACAATCCTAAACCATTACATTAAATTCCATTCATTAAGATGCTAAAATCCTTCGACGTGCTTGGAAGAAATGTCCAAATGCCACGAGAATTTCTTTTTTCCATGACTTTGTTGAAAGCTGAATCTGACTTTCCATGTGTAGGCTTAAAACAATATGGTATGGTATGGTATGGTAGTTACCTATGTCGAATAGGATCAACTTCCTTGAGGTGTTCCGTAGTCAGTTCTTCACCGCACATTAGACGCAAAAATGGTTCCGACAACGGGAGATCAACTAAACGCCCATCTTGCAACACCTACGACAATAAATTACAATATATTGTGACAAATAACACAAACTGGAATTGTTTTCTCGGTCTTACAATTTTATTGTACAGGACATCACAATATCTACTGAACAATGATGAATAGAAGAACTGAGCAAGACCAGACGAATGTGGTTTCGTATTCGATTAACTTTTAAAAGAAGGAAGATCGAAAATAGTACCTTACCTTAGCTAAAAATACTCCTAAGAACCAGAAATATTTGCAAACTTTATCACAGATAGGAGAGTCTTGAGGGAGTGACGCCGGGAAGAGCCCACCTGCGCGCGTCACGTAGTAACCTGGAGGTTTCTCTGTAAATAAAGGGTAATTTTTTAAAGTTTAACTTATAGAATAAGCAGTTTCAAACGCTATATTAACAAGTGTGCTTCTAATTGAAGCACACTTGTACTCCTACCAAAAGTGAAATTTGCATGTAATTGTCGGTGCAGCATCACAGAGTCACCACCACATCAAACCAATCGCAAAAAGCTTTTGTCCTTATAGAAAAGACGTTTGAAAAGCGTCGACGATCCGAACGGAAGAGGCGAAACGCTCAAAGTCTTTTCCGCGCTCATTGCATGGACGTAAGCTTTTTCTGACCGACTCTAGCCGACTCCACTTTAATAAAATAGTGACTGCCCAATATGAATGTCCATACAGCAAGTCTCTTCCATGGGCTATAAAAATAGTTGTTGATGTATTTACATATAAAACAATACGTCATATGCTGTACAACATGCCATACAAAATAGTCAACCATTTAACAAGGTCGCTAGCTACAACCGTCCCTATAAACACAAGGTGGACGCACAGTAGGTAAATATCATTAGTTAGTGCCATGTTTATGGTTAACTTGAATTTATTACAGAATTCTAAATGCGAAAGAACATTAGGCTTGTAGGAATTGGGAAACGATTGCTACATGTTAGAAATTCACCTTTTTTCGTATCTAAATTGCGTATTTTATTATATAAAAGAATAAGTGCGCATTTCACTACTATCTCACGTGATGGAAAGTGACGATGAGATAATTATTTCTGCCGCCAAGCAGTAATGTGAGCATTATTGTGTTCCGAATTTGAAGGTTAAAGGTGCTAATGAAATTACAGGCACATAGGACTTGTGTCAGTGCAACGGGCCCAGTGGTAGTGGCCCTCAGATCTTGGTGGTGATTTAAAGCTCAGAGTTGCTGCATTGCAACCGTTATGAACAGACGTGTCGCTAGCCACCAGGTGCACGACTAGTTCGGCCATCACATGACATCATAATAAAAACATGCAGCCTGTACAGGTTCCATGGTCATGGCTGACTGGATAGTAAAGTCTTCAACCAAATATTACATAAGGGTCCGAAACGTCGGGTTTGTTTGAAAACAAATATACGCGATTTAGATCCAAAAAAAGTTTCATTTCTAAAATCTTATGTTTTATGTATTGTGATGTATTACCATCGGGCAACGCGAGATGGTGCGGCGCGAGATCGTCGTCAGGGTGTGGGGTGTCGTGCAGCCACATGGCGAGGTCTGCACGCTGCAGCTCGGCCGCCACCAGCGCATAGAACTCCAGCGTAGGCCCAAGCCCCGTACCTTCTTCGCCAGCGAACTCAACTTCTAATACAGATTTACGCCCCGCATGTACACGCATCACCTGACGAACCATAAAGTAATTATAATGGCGACTTGAAACCTCAGTAAACCACAGTAATATATTAGTTGAATGAAACAGAAATAGCACATTTAATTAAATAAAAAAAAATTAAAAACAAAAAAATAGATCGTTATTCATCCCTCTTAAATGTAAACGAAATATTCGATCACTATACGTTTGTCTGTGTGAGTTGGTAGCGCAAGTGTTAAGTTATATTTTTTTAAATAAGTGCATCGCACCTGCATTGCTGATTTTAGCAAGTCTGGCTGGCGTGGTATCCGCACTCGCTCGTGTCGAAGCCTGCCCATGCGGAATTCCGTAGCTTCCAACTCTGCACGCCTAGGCGACACTGTGTTGCCGGCCCTGTAAAGCATACATAAAATCAACTTAATGTTATGGCAGAACCATTGACTGTCACTTACACCAGAAAAACCCGCGCCCTTCGCTTCGTACCCTCAGTAATAAATAATGATGTTATTATGTTTGGCTGATACTGACAAAGGTATCAGCCAGACAGTATAGCATTTGGATTATGATCGAACAATGTACTACCTGATGAGAAAAGAAATATTGTTTTATTAGATAAGTAATTTTTTTAAACTGGTAGCTGTAAAGTTACCTAACTGGGTGACGAAATACTTTCATAAAGATGGCGCTACGGCTAAAAAGTTGTTGAAAATCAAATACAAAGATCCGACAAACAAGCACAGAAAATTTCGTGAGGTCCGCTGGTTCGTTCCGTGGCTTAGTTGGCATAACGTCTGGCACGGTTTGCTAGAAGACGTCGGTTCTAATCCGGCCGGATCGAAGGAATTTTTTCTAAGTTTTTTCGATCTTTGTATTAATAATTATAACAAACTGGTGGAGTAATTTCATAAAAAATAATTGAATATCATTTCAATGCAAATTTAATTTTTATAAGTTAATTTTGTACGTTTTACAAAAATTAACTTTTCCTTCTCCGTCACCTTACTATTAACAGTACAAACTAAAATTACAGACTACCCAAAATATAAAAAGTGCCTATTTTACCGTCAATACTCAAAACTAACGTCTCTGGGTTGCTAGCCATTTTTAATTCTTGAAATTGTCAGACGGCCGTGGCGGGAGTTACTCCCACGTTTACTACAGCGGTTGCTATAGGAATATTTTAAAAGGACCGTAGGTAAACTTACCTTTGTCTGTCCAACGCTCGATCGCGTTGCGCCTGAAGCCAAACAATAGTTCTAGATGTACCGAAAGCAGTGCACGCGAAGAACATCTGCCGAGTCTCGAGGGGGAACAGAAATGGACACCAATCGTTTAGCTGCTGACACCTGTGCACAAGTGTACGTTTTTAGTAAATTCATTATTTCAACTATCTTCTATTGTTTTATTCAAAATAGAATTGTGTCACTAGTAAGGCTACCACGATATGGCACGACTAGCGCGAGACCGACATAAAGTGCGAGATACTGCTAGAAAATATAATTATCTCGTGCTCCTATGTCCCGCCCTGTCGTGCTAGCACTAATGTCTTGACCTATTTGAACACACCTTGCGATACAGTACCGTTTCGGAAATTGTAAACTGATGAAATTTCGTAGTTATTGGAACTTTATAACTGTAAGTGATAGGCCAGTGTTTTTTTACTTTCTTTTTAATGGGTAAAGGTTCCGTCATGTCCACGCCGCCGCCCAAAAAAAAAACTAATGGGATGGAAAGGGTTTAGGCCATTATTCGCCACTCTGAGTCAATGTGGGTTGCGGACTTTACAAATGTCAAGGGTTGTCAATTTCCTAACATGCAAGTTTCATCACGCTGATTTTCTTTACCCTTAGCGAGATAACCAGGTATTTGAACTGTGCTACTACAGGTCTCAATTACGGAACAAAGAATTATACCATTGTGGTGTAGCTGCAGCTGCCAAAGCCAAAGGTTCCTGGAGTTGCTGATGCAGCTTGTTAGTGAGTTTCGTGGAAAGGAAGGCCTCGGCAGGCAGGTCGGGTGCTGCAGCTCGAATTCTCTTCAGCACGCGCACGCAACAAGTCGCCATTGCACCCTCGGGCCCTTCTGCGCCTACTATATTGCGTTCTAAACAGACGTAAGACGTTTAAGGCATGTATCACCAGATGACATCTTTTGGGTCCTAAATATGTCAAATTTCAGTTTAACAAGCATAGTACTTCCTCAATGACGTCACACGACTGTACACGTAGAAACAATTTCAACTTCTGAAGAGATTAAATTTACCTGGATCACAGGGTTCATCATCTTCACTATCACTGGAAGATGCAAAAGTCTCCATCCCCTCTATCTCCTTATATGTTAGTCTGAAAATAACATCGTTAGATTGTACATAGAATTCATTCATGTTCGTGAGCACTACCGAAAAAGAAAACTTGTTCAACTTTTAATACTTTTAACTTTTAATACATACTGCCTCCGTGGCCGAACTGCCACGCAGAGGTCCCAGATTCGATTCCCGGGCCAGGAGAAATATTTGTATGGCCTACATTTAATTTCTCTCGTTAGTTTGGGTGTAATTTGTGGTTGTCTATGTGTGTATCCATGGCACCCGCGACACTGGGTTTAGTGTGTGCGTTGGTATTATTATTATACTATATAACAAGGACGAAAATAAAAGCAAATATTTTAAATAAATTACGTGTTACAAAGCTTAGCAGCTTAGCTGCGTAGCTGTATACAGTCCACAACAGTATCTGTAGCGCTGAGCATTCTATGGCTTCCTCGACTAAACCATATATACATTTTTTTTAACTTACGTGTAAGTAGTATCTCTATGCGTGTCATGCGAAGGCAGTCGTGCGTTGAGAGCGAGCACAGCCCTGTAGAGCGTCCACGACGGCCTTTCTAACGGTAACGAGGCTCCTCCAGCACTTAACACCAGTCGCAAGGCCGGTAACCGACCAGGACCGGTGGTTGTTGAGCCCTCGTTGCTGCTGCTTGGAGCACTTGCTGTTGGTTCTGCCGCGTCTTCGTCGTCCGAATTATCGTTTAGGGGTATATCGAGATCTACAATGAAAATTTATCGTTAGATATAAAATTGTATGATGGTCAAGTAAACACTGCACATATGACGCGTTATATATAGTATGTAACAGGGCAAAATATGAACAGGAAAAATTAAAAATTTTAGATTCCTTGATTGGAAACACACTTGCACAGTTACGGGTACTTCATTATAGCAAATGACTACGAATGGTGATGGCCACATACCACATATATGTATATCTCCATAAGAATAAATGTGACTCACCAACAGTTTGATTAAGATTAGTGCGCCCAGGACGCGGGTCGAAGGCGGGAATGAGAGCAGAGAACTGCCGCTTCAGCACAAAATCATCATCCCAGGGTCTTCTCGCCCTCGGTCCACCTCCTGCAGCGCCAACACCTGCTCCCCGCACAGCCTCTAACGCCTCTTCCTCCATGAGTGACAGCAAGTTGCGCGACACCTGGTAAAACGAAGACTGATACTCTTCAATGCCAGACACGTTTTCAATTAGATTAGGTAGACTTACCTACCTGAAGGCAATTCCGTTCCAAAAGAATTACAAAAAATAACAAATTTTCTAAAATAAAATTCTTCTAGGAATGCGGATATTAAAATAAGAAGAAACTGAAAGGGAAAGGTTCGAAATTGGCACTAAACATAAAAACAAAAAAAAAACGATGAAGGGAAGTCAAAATACTAGCACTGCATTGCAAGAGAAGTTTCCTGTCTAGTTACTGTCCCGCCTACATATTTCTTCATACGCAAGGTATATACTTCGCGTACCGCATCCTCAAATTACCACAGACGCGTGACGGGACAAGTACTGAAACAAAAATAAAATGTCAATACTCACTACTTCTTGATAAGTGGGTTCGTTTTCCTTGTCACTGTCAAGCGCATCATCTGCTTCGTCGTCGTCTTCCAGTTCTGTTAGCAACGCTGGGGCTCGGCACGACTCCAGAAAATCCTCAAGGGACACCTGGAAATGTATATTCATTACACTCAAGTACTTACGTCGAACGGACACTGTTAGAAAATTTCGAATACAAGTTACTTGAGAAAGGACACGGAATTTTGGTTCCTATTTATACCTATGGAATGGGTTCAAAAAGGCTCGGTTTCTTCGAGAAAAGGATGTTCAGCCATGCTTGCTCGCTTAGCGGGGGCACTGGCCCTACCCCTAGATACGACAAATAATTTGTTTCTATTTTATAACATTCTAGTCTTATAATACAGTAACATGACAAACACGAATGTATTTCTGTAAAAAAAATATTGCAACATTAGGTACAAAACTTACAAACATACGAAAAAGCATTCTACTATCACACAAGCGTCATGGTAGTGATTGAAAAAACAAAGCAAAGCATGTTCAGACAGAGATATATATTTACACAACGTTTATTGAAGTTTTCGAACCTGTTCGCTTTCACTAGATGTGGAAGTCAGAGATAAAGTAAGAGCGTTTTGTGCGTTGGGCGCCAACGATGGGTAACTTTGGGCTGCCGAAAGAAGTCCGCCTGGGAAGTTGCTAGATAACGCCAGTCGAACCAAGCTAAAAAAAATTAAATTGTCACCTAAAAATCTGAGTCATGCCGTGGTTCACTCACACACAAATTGATAATAATTATATCACCTTATTTAGATATCAGCTATTCTGGCAAGAAAAACTGACAATATATTTACCACTAAACTATATTACCTCGGGAAGAGACTACTCGAATGATTATTCGATCGCGCAGCTCTCTGTTGATTGCTGCCGCGACCGGCACTGGAACCACGTCCCACGCCCAATGATTCTAATAATCGTGCGGCACCCTAATAAAACACCATTCTGTGTGAGAACGCGTCACTTGTCATGTTTAATATAGATCCAGAGGTCACGTTTCTAAAATAATTCTCACCTGTTGAGTAAGATCTGGCTCACTAGCGCTCATGTTGCCAGAACCGCTTTGGCCGTCTTTCTTGTGGTCGCCATATTGACCTTCGCCACTTTCGTTATCTTCACACTGTATCGACAAATTGAAAATGTAAATTCATATATACCTAAAGCCATTAGCATGGCCGTTTTATATACATAACCTTTGCTTATTAGGTATCGATAAAAGTAGTTACAAGCGAGACGCGGTTGCAAGGCGGACGGTGCAGATTAGTGTCATCAAAATTATTCATTCAAACCCGTCGCATTGTGCAATCGATCACCACAACCCGTATACTATAGCCGCAATTAGATGTGAATTTATTAAGTTACTATACAATTCGTACGAGATTTATATTAGTGTAGCCACGTCGAGGCGACAGGCGCTGGTTCGAGTCCAGTGGGATCGAGGGATTTTTTCCTTGTATTTGTTCGACCTTTGGAGCTGAATGAAGCTGAAAGCTGGATAGGTAGACGGCGAGAGTGGCGGCGCGCGGTACCTGCGTGTGGCTGCGGTTGGCCGCGTTGCGCAGCGAGTGCAGCAGCGAGGCGGGTAGCGCTAGCAGCTCGCTGGACAACAGCGCGTTGGCGCTGTTCCGCACCGCGTCGCCCTCGCAGCGCGCCGCCAAAGCGCCAAAGCCCCCGCTCGCACCCTCCTGCGCGCAGGATTACAACTTACCGCGCGCACACCCCTAACCTACACCACCTAACTCTTACCCCCTAACAAATCACGCTAACTGTGTGGCGGGTTTTTTCACTCGTTATTTTTTCGTCTCTTTTTAATATGTTCGAAATGCAACAGATTCAATTACCAAATTTTCACTTTTATTTCAATAATACAAGAAATAGATTACGTTTAGTTATTGCAAAAGCACACCTAGGTTAATTTATCGGTATCGTAATGAAGTTATTCTAAATGTTGTTCACTATTAAATTGTGATTCATCACATCACTCAGCAAATAAAAAAAACACTAATTGTATTATTCATTTAGTGATTAGATTCACTCGGCTAAACGCATGCTGGGTTGTTCAAAACGCGTAATCTCACCTCTTGGCCGTTTCCTTCCGGAACTGGTTCCTTAGCAGGATATGGTTTGGTGATATCAGTGATACTGGTGGGACCCATTTCCATGTTTGTAAATGAAGCATTGCCCAAATCCGACATGCAGTTATTGCCCTCCGCACCCAGAGTCAGAGATTCCACAATAGTGGCGAGATCTATGGAAGAAAATATACATCAATCGATGATCTTATATACGTAAAATAAACATCAATTATGCAAATCGTAATGGGAGTTTTTTCGTTTTATTTAAGATAGAAATGTAAACATCAATAAACTGACCAATCAGACATTGGTAATCAAATTATTCGATCAGTAAAATTTACAAATAAAATATTAAGGACATAGGAAATACTAAACTATTTTTTCGGATCTAAATCACAGGTAAAGTCCATCACCCGTAAAGGTTCCAAAACGTTGGTTTGTTTGATAAAACTTAATAGTTTCATTTCCTATGTGTAAAAATCGCAAGACCTAAGACTCGAAACTTAAGGACACTCATTGGTAATAAAATAACTAGTAATATTTTTTGCTTTAAAGCAGCATCGCGCTCAAAGTCGCAATCTACCTTGGTAAAAACCCGTTACTTGAGAGGCACATACTTATAAATAAATAAATAAATAACGCGCACACTCAACATAGCCCCGCACTAGGGAAACCCTGTGTCGCGGGTGCCATGGACACACACATAGACAACCACAAATTACACCCAAACTCACGAGAGAAATAATTGTAGGCCATACAACTATTTCTCCCGGCCCGGGAATCGAACCTGGGACCTCTGCGTGGCAGTCCGGCATGGTATCCGTTCGGCTACGGAGGCAGTTTATATTTATTTATTTATTTATTTATTTTCTATGTAATCATCTGATATACACGTACGACTTATTGACTAAATAAAATGTTACCCCTCACGATATTCGCGTAAACGCTACCTGTTCAGAGATCAAAATGACAATTACCCTAACACTTGAAACACATACCAGTATTAATGTGGTGCGTTGAGTTGTTAATGGCGGATAGGTCAGTGGCGTGCATGCGCGGGCGCGTCATGTTGCTCGCCATCTCTTCGCCCGATATGTTATCGGCTGAGGATGCTTGCTCCGTGGATGCTACTGATACCTATTTTAAGAAACATATATTGTAGCTACCTGTATTTTTACAATACTATTTTATTTATTTTGCAAGTAGTTTTAAACATACTCCATAAGTAGGTAATGATATCTAACAACATCATGTATCAAGACAACTTAAACTTGTAGGAAGGCCCAGCAGTCCGCTGTAATCATCCAGTAAATATTCGAATGTCGACATTACTTATTCTACGTACAAAATTCAAGAAAAAAATACCTGATGGTCAACGGCTGTCGCATCTGGAAGACTAGGTGTGGAATGGCTTTTGCGTCCCCCTCTAGCACCCTCGCCACCGGCGCCACTAGCAACAGTAGCACCACCGCTCGAGGCCCCCGTCGAGCCGGTCGACCCCCCGCTTACCACCTTTAGATCGAACTTGCCTTCAGCGCCCATGCGGTATGAATTACGACCTCCGTGGTCCCACCTGAGCATACCATAAAATGTTAACAAAAGCAGTCGCACAAAATTAAACATTTTCGACATATAAAAGGGGAAATAAAATACATCAAATTTGTCATAATTATCGTGCAAGTATGGTTTTTATGAATTTTGCTCCGCGTGTATATTCCTACCATATTAAATCTGGTGTGACGTCAGGACATCGCGCAAAGCTATGAAAATATCAATAAAAACCCTTCAATGCACATCAAACACAACACAACAAATCGTAACGCTTACAGAGCAAACCGCGTGGAAAGCTAAAATCGCAAGCACCGCGTTTTTAAAACAACGTATGTTTGTGGAGCTTGTTTTGTATCCAGATTTACAAACACCTAAACATCAAGCCCAAGTGTCGTAAATGCAGACGTATTCACGATGACATGACGACGCACTGATTAAATTAAGTGTATCAACAGTTATTATCTTATTAATTGTAATTGACAGTATGCTTCTGAATCGATCTGCAGATATAAAACGGATATATGCCAATAACGGATAACTGCCAATAGAAAATGGATTACCTTACGATTCAGCACGGGTTCAGAAAGACTGTTTTATTCAAATTGAGAATACGATCTAGAAGATTCGATTCGCCTTAATGTCGAATCGATTTGTTCCTAAATCGCATCGAAATGAATCGATATAAAAATCGCTAGATCGTATACACCTGAATCGATTTTCACACAAATCGAATCGTAATGTACATCCCTACTAATTTTAAGTATCTTTATGGCCCGACGTTGCTGACTTCAGACGTACTCTAAATTCCTTTAGTTAAGAAATGTTTTGAAGCAAATATCTAGTTTATATTTTTTTCTCATCTTTGTTTTACCTATAATGCGGCCACACCACATAGTTAGCTTAATAATATCTACAACCATAAATTTAGTATATAGGTACCCATAGATTGGCAATGCAAGTGAAAGAGCGTTAGTATACACGTATGTTAGAGCGAGATGAGTAGACGAGACCACTTCATTATACGCTATGAGCCTGTATGAACCTAGGGTCACTGATCACACACATCGCTGACAACGAAACAAATTTCGTTTATTTTTGACAAATAATTGGTTTTAAAATGTGAAATGGTGTTAAACGGACGTTTATTAGTCATGGTAACGTGTTCAGTGCCCGGATGTAACTCATCTAAAAAGGAAAACTCGCAGAATTGTACATTTCACATGTAAGTACTATTTAAAATTTTAGCTGTCTAAAAGTACTACCACAAAAGTTTTTTACATAATTATATCCGTAAAATTATACCCTTCAAGTGCATTAATAACCCAAATGTATACGAATTCAATTAAAAAATATAACCCCACTTTCATAGAGATTGACGCAATCGATAATGTTATCGAGATGTCATTAACTGAAAAAAAGAAAGGCAAAGGCGTGGCTTGCATACAGCCGAAATCATCTTCATACTGAATATTATTGAATCAGAAATTTCTGATTTTAGTACTTTATATTTAATTAATATAGTATAATAATAGTCTACATTAAAACGAAAATTTCTTTTAATAGCGTAGTTGAGGCACTCACTTTTTTATGTTAATTATTGTTGTTGATTCAGATTTCCTCAAAACATTGAAGTACGACAGAAATGGCTTATAATGCTAAAGAGAGAAGACTGGGTACCCAAAAAGTTTTCAAAAATATGCAGCAAACACTTTGAGGAAAAATGGAGTTGGAGTTGTCCTCATGCAGCCAATTGTCGCCATGCAGGCTAGTCTTTGGAATTTGTCCAGCTAGTCAGTTGCGGTCGTCAGCTTAGTTCGTAGCCACCATACTATCGCGCCGTAACTGATCATGGGTCTTATCACCGTTTTGTAGAGCCATAGTGTTATCTTGGGTGAAAATCCCCATTGTTAACTACCATCCTAAGGCACTGCCAGGTGATAGTAGCTCTACTGAGTAGTAGTCTTAATTTTGTATTCAATCATTAATTAATTAGTTAAATAACGTCTCGGCGTTTTGCGATAAGACATTTTGATGAATACGACGAAGTGAAATGCCGGTAGAATTTGTTAATCGATATTAAAGTTAAATCAGTGGATGGCGCAACACTATTTATCTTACACACATGCACATTATACGCATACAGATGTATTTTTGTCTTGGTCTCGTTTCCAATACTTCAGGGCTAATCTATGGATATATTAAATCTATGTCTACAACATACAACGAACCATACCTGACATCAACCCATCCGTTATGTAAATCCGATGTAACAGTGCCCATAGCAGGATGGGGCCCGTCCTGGTCGCGCCACTTCCAGTCAGGGCCACGCATAACACGTGCGCCGGCGCAGAGGCCGCGAGCTCCGCGCGACCAGCGCCGGCTCGTAGCCCGACCGACCACAGCCGCACCCGCGCTACCGCTCTGACGTGGCGGTGTTTCGATCACGCTTATCACCTGACAATACAAGTAACTCCTATGAAATCAGCCTTTTTTGTGGCTTTAGGATCCTACAATGCCAAAAACATAGGGAACGTTATATCTCTAGAAAGCGTGACTGGTTAATCTAAAGTATTATTGGATATTTAATAATACTATTGTTATAATAATGATTTATTTTAGAATGACAGGAATTGTGACCTTTTAAACATAGTAACGCTAAAACAAATTTATATTTAATCACACTAGATACTTCATTATATAGCATTGGCTTTTATAAATTATTATATTGTTAACACGTACCTTGCCATAGACTTCAAGACCAGAGAGAGACAAGTAATGACTCTGTCCACTGGCATTCTTTCCGTTCTGTTGTATACGCAGGTAGCGGTAGGGTGCGTCGGCGCGGATTCGCCATGTCGCTGTGCTACCCGGCTCCTGCAGGGCCTGCTCATCCACGTGGGCCAGAAGAGTACTCCATGCCACGCCATCCATTGACATCTGTATTAATTACATAAGTTTAAACATGTGTTCACCAAAATGGACGCTAAGGCTATAAATATTTACTGCGTAATCTTTATATAGTGATGTCAGATTGGATACTTTTGAGCGTTTCTCTAGAAAACGTGCCCACTTAGGCACGTCGCGTGGAATCTGCGCTTGACAAAGGGGAAGAACGGGCAACCAATATAAACCTAGAAAAGAATACTGTGGTGGCTGAAAAATCCGTGCTTAGCTTTTGGGAATATTCCGCACAGAGACACAACCTATTTGGCTTGCTGCAGCACACATAAGCCTTTGATCATTGGTTAGTTAGTTTATATATTTTTTTAAATTTCTTGTTGTATGTTTTTATTTCCACCTTTAATTTTAATTTTTGTGTGTTTCTCTTTTAATCCATTAACTGTATTATCTTTTTGTGTATGTGATGTAAGACAATAAGCATTTTACTATCTATCTATCTATGTGTATACTCACTTGGAACAGCCAATTCCTGAGCGCCGAACGTCCGTAACCACGAGCGTGACGTAACGTATAAGCAGAAGGCACAACCAGAAGACCCAAATCCAATGCAATAAAGGCCCTTCTATCATCATTTGTATGCACGTTAAGAGGTTCAGGGGACCTCGAAAGGGCATCTTCTGCACGTCCATACGGCAATTGTCGGCCGTCTGAAGACCACACGCTAACCAGGCCATGTGCACCCGGGTTAACCCATTCGCAAGTGCCGCCATTGCTCCCGATAAAGTACAAGATACCGCATTCGTCAAAATCGTGCTAAAACAAAAACATTCATTTATGAAATTCAATATTTCAGAAATGTCGTGTTCCATAAGAGGGCTGGCATACCTTATTATAGAAAATTTTCATCGAGACAACTCCGGATTTAAGCACATAAGAGAGACTAGCTGTGTGATAAAAGTTTACTTACATCGTACGTAAAAGTGATGGGAGCTTCGGCTTTGATTTTCTGCACAAAATGGAAAGTGGATCGTTCCATGTCGTACCACTGTCGAGCGACTGACTTAGCTAAGAATCTTTCTAGTTGTCGTATGGTTACTAGTGCTTCTACTTTAAGATTTCTACCCGCGTTATTGCTGTTATTGGAAGCCTCTTCGGAAGAATCCTCTGCCGCACGCTCTACACGCAATCTGTAAAAATTAATATATTGTATGGCATGTAGAGTGAATTTGATAAGGGATCAATTTCAGTTAATTTTATTTAGTAGTTATTTTGCAGACTTTTTTGAGTTTTTTTTTATTTATTTATTTACACATAAAAAATCATACAAAACATGTTTTAATGCAATGTAACATAAACTATGTCGTTTTCCTGTACATTGCTAATTTCGTCGGCGTTAGTCTGGCTGCGCTTGTATATGTTTGTGTGCGTGTGCGTGTGCGTGTGCGTGTG